AGCACCGCTGACCAACTTCCATCTCCGGTCAGAGGGTCTCTGACCCCGGTGGGCAGGGCCCCTCAGGGCCTTCCCCCCTTATCCTCCGTTTGTGGAGCCCTCCTGAGGGTGCAGTTTGTCATCAACTGCTTAAGGTGGGTGAGACACCTGGCCTTCCGTTCTCCTGCTTTCTGACCACCCCAGGTCATGACACCTGCAGTGCTCTCCCAGTGTGGATGTTGGAGAGAGGATGAGCAAGGTCTGCAGGTCAAGGAGGGGATGAGAATGAGACCTGGAAGACAGACTTTATCCACTTCCAGGTCTCAGAGAGGAGGTCGCCCCTGCCAGGGAGAACCAAGGGGAACCATCTTGGGTGGGTCTCCTAGCAGAAGAGGAGGATGAGGGGACAGGCTGAGCCAGGGCCTTCATAGGGCTTTCTGCAGGCACAGCAAGCCAGAGCAGAGTCAGAAGTTTACAAGTGGCAAATTGGAACAATTCCATTGGGCACGGCTTACTGGGGAGGTCATTAGATGTTGGCACTAGGCCCGGGATGCTTTATAAGAGAGAAATGCTTGGGAAATAGCTCATGTGAGAGAGTTAGGTAAGGAAGGTGTTCAGGGTATAGATGCCGGAAGTGTAATTTGGCATAAGGAGGACGTGGCTCTGGTGGGATTTCTTGTGTTTGGAAGAGTGGGCTGCCTTGAGAAGGAAATATCTCCCAGGCCACAAGACTTTGAGGCATCCAAACTTCATAAAATACCGAAGATAAAAAGAACTTTCCCACCCCTGCATCACTGCACTGTTTTCCCCACCTTGTCTTCCTTAATGAGAGTCACTAATTGCTTGCCTGGACTCAAACAGTGGGTTGAAAGCTCGCTGAGGACAGGCGTGCTTGGGCAGAAACACTCTTTGTTGTCTCCCTGATGTATAGATGTTTCCTAAGTAAGTGAAAGGGAAAGTGTTTAAAGAGAAATAAAATCTACGTAACTGCCTGTTGGGCTGGGTCGTCTTTATGGATCAGAGTATCCTTCCAAAGACCAACCATAGTTCTCCACTGCAGGCAGCAGAACCAACTGCCTCTCTCTGATGATTTCCCATTGTTCTACTACTGAGGAGAGCTGGGCCCACATTCTCCATCACCTTTCTTAAGCACCTGAGGGCCCTGCTACCTTGGACTTCAACCTGTCCTTCACCATCCTTAGGGCCGAGCCCATTTGCTTGAAAAATTCTGCCATCCACAGCCCTTTGAAGAACTTGTGTCTAATACTAATTGTTGAATTGTGAGCGGTGTAATTTACATGTATCCTGTAGAATAGAAACACTAATGGCACCTACCCGATAGCCCTGTGGAGAATAAGAATGACGTCTACAACACTGAGGAGAGATACCTAGGACATGGTCATCTCTCCAGTGTTGTCAGCATAACCAGCCTTTCCTAATGAACATCCTTCATTTTTGATCCCAGGAGGCTGATTTCTGCCAGCACCACTGACCAACATCCATCTCTGGTCAGAGGGTCTCTGACCCTGGTGGGCAGCGCCCCTCAGGACCTTTACCCCCTTAACCCGTGCGGTCTGCGGAGTCCTTCTGAGGGTGCAGTTTTATCATCCTCTATTTAAGGTGAGTGGACACTTGGCCTTTCTTTCTCCTGTTTTCTCACCAGCCCGGTCCATGACACCTGCAGTGTTCTCCCAGTGTGACTATTGCAGATAGGAAGAGAAAGAGTTTGCAGGCCTAGGTGGGGTCTAAGATAAGGCTTGGAAGGAAGTCTTGTATCTACCTCCAGGTCTCAGAGAGCAGGATGCCCCTGCCGGGTAGAACTGAAGGGAAGCGTCCGGCGGGACCCATGGCAGCAGATGAGAATGCAGGGAGCGGCTGAGCCAGAGCTCTTTACTGGCCTTCCTGAAGGCGCAGCAAGCCAGAGCAGAGCTGGTGGTTCAGAAACGGCAAATCAGGAGAATTGCCCCGGGCTGTGGTTGGGGAGGCTGCTAGATGGTGGCACGATACCCTGGATGGCTCAGAGAGAGGAAATAGGAGGGAAATGCCTGTGTGAGAGAGGTAGGTGCGGAAGGTGCTGGAGTACACACTCAGGAGAGGTGCATCTGTGTGGGGAAAACATGCCTGTGGAGGGATTTCTTGTGCTTGGAGGAAATGGCTCTGTGCGGGGAGGCGGTGTCTCCCATGCCAGTGGGAACTCTGAGATTCCAAAAGTGGGAAGCACCGCACCCCCCAGCACCTTTCCCTTGTTTCCTCCGTCATCTCCTTCAAGGATATCGCTGATTTCTTAGCCAAGTTTTATAGATGGCTTGAGAGCTCGCTGAAGGCGGGTGCTGTGTAGCAGAAGCACCGCTGCCATCTCCCTGATGGGCAGAGGCAGCCTGGGTGGAGGAGCGGGAAAGTGCTAAAGGACACAGTAGTTACAGGTGACTGAAGGCTGGTGGGGTCATCTTTACAGGTCGGAGTAACATCCCTTGGACCAGCCACATTTCCTGCCTGAAGGCAGGAGAACCAACTTTTTCTTGTTGACTTTCTACTTCTCATCTACTGAGGTGAGCCAGGCCCACATCCTAAACACCCCCCAAAGCTCCCTGGGGCTCCTGCGCCCAGACCTGCACCCTTCTCCTTCCCCATCACTTAGGGCAGAGCTCATTGGCCTAGGAAATCCTTCTACCCACCCCTGGCCAGTGAGGAACATGTGTTTTGATACTCATCGTTGGATAGTGAGCAATGCCACCTACATCTGCCTTGTAAAATGGAAGTAGTTTTGGAATCCGTTCCACAATTCTGTGCATAGTAGTAAGTGGCGTGTCTGAAACACTGAGGAGAGATGGCTGAGAAAGAGTCATCTCCAGTGCCACCTGGCATAAATACCCTCTCCTAATGGCAATACCTCATATTTGCTATAGGAATTTTTGTAGACACCACCACTGATCCATATCACCTAGGGATCAGAAGAACTCTGAGCCTCCTGGGCGAGGCCCCTTGTGGCCTTCACCTGGGATTGTTTTACGTGTGCAGCTTTTTCACCAACTGCTTCAGGTGAGTGAACCCCTTAGCTTATGTCCTGTTCTCTCACAGTGTAGGTCCATGAAATCTGCAGTGTTCTAGAAGTGTAATCCTGGAGATAGGATGATAAGGAATTTGTGTTCTAAAGATGGGACAAGAATGCACATTGGGAGGAAGACATTTTATGTAACCCCAGGTCTCAGACAGGAAGTTGCCCATGCCATGTAGAACCAAGCAGAATTTGGTGTAGGTCACATGGCAGAAGATGAGAATGTGGGGGAGCCTGAATCAGGCTATGGGTTTTCAAAGGAAAAGCAAGCCAGGCCTTGTCCTTGTTGTCACTTGAATTATGGATCTTCATTTCTGCACATCTCACAA